CATGGAGAAGGGAGAGAGTGGACCTAGTAGCGACCAGAGAAGAGTTGTGAATCGATACCTGCAACCACAAATAGGTGAGTAAAAATAGGTGAGTGAATACTATAACAGTCACCACTAATTTAGTCACACACTTGCATAGTCTTCCAACAATTCGGTCACACACTAACACAGTCATAAATCTCCAAGCGTATATAAACCAAGTTTTCCAGTGAGTCTCGGAAAAAAATATAATGTTCAGGGAAGACAAATTTCAGTTACTCCGTCATGGAAAACTTGTGGAAATAAGAGCTATTGCGGGGTATAGTACAAACTCTAACCACACAATAGCGAAGGATTTGGGAGTGTTAACGTCAGAGGATCACAACAGTGCCATTATCACATCGGCATGAAAAATAATAGGATGGATAATTACAACTTTTAAAATAAGGGATGACATGCCATTGATGATCTTTTATAAGTCACTTGTGCTCTCTAGGCTGGAAAATTGCTGTACACTAACAGCCCAATACAAGGCGGATGAAACAGCAGATTTAGAGAATGTACAGAGAACCTTAACTGCACATGTAAGTTCAGTCAAGCACTTTAATTTACGGAAGCATTTTAAGTTCCTTGATGAATTTAGACACATGTGCAACATCTGGGTATCTTTATTGTAGACGTTTCGCCAACCAGTGGGGACCCCCGCCTACCAGTGACTATGCCCTCCATCTTTCACCAGTATAAGAGCAACAACCTTCTTGCCTGTGGTCCAGAATTATCACGACTACGGTGCTGTTTTACACCTACTTTATTAAGGCTGAGGGACTGATTACCTCATCTTTTGTATATAGTTCTACTGTCTTCATATCATGTTCTAGAATTTGTATTGATAAAGATACCCAGATGTTGCACATGTGTCTAAATTTATCAACTTGTCGGTATTGTATACCGTTCATGTACAAGTTCCTTGATCTGTACTCCCTGGTATGCAGTCGAGAAAGATGCATCATAATCTACTCCTGATAAATCCTAGGAAAACTGGTCTCAAATCTGCATACAGAAATCACTTCCTGATTAAGAAAAAGACTGGTCAGACAGTGTTACATACCCCCAACGAAAAATAGGGGTGCCATGAGTAGTAAGAGCAAATAAACACAATAAGTGTTAGGGGCCCAAGACTGTTCAACAGCCTCCTACCATCCATAACGGAAATTACCAAGAGACCCTTGGTCGTCGTCTTGAGGCGACTGGACAGATACCTAAAGTCAGTGCCCGATCAGACGGGCTATGCTTCGTACGTTGGATTGCATGCCGCCAGCAGTTTCAGCCTTGTTGATCAGGCCCTGATCCACCGGGAGGCTTGGTCAAGGATTGGGCTGCGGGGACATTGACTCTTGGAACACCCTCCTGTCACACGTTAAAGCAGTCACATTAACGCAGTCACACAGTCAAACACTAACACAGTCACACAAGAAATTAGAGACAGTGCAAAGGTTTGCAACAAGGCTAGTTACAGAGCTAAGGGAAATGTCCTACGAAGAAAGGTTAAGGGAAATCGGCCTAACGACACTGGAGGACAGGAGGGTTAGGGTAAACATGATACCGACACACGAAATACTGCGTGGAATAAATAAGGTGGACAGAGACAGGATGTTCCAGAGATGGGACACAGAAACAAGGGATCACAACTGGAAGTCGAAGATTCAGATGAGCCAAAGGGATGTTAGGAAGTATTTCTTCAGTCATAGAGTTATCAGGAAGTGGAGTAGTCTAGCAAGTGATGTAGTGGAGGCAGGAACCATACATAGTTTTAAAACGAGGTATGATAAAGCTAATTAGGGATCAGTGAAGAGGCGGGACCAGGAGCTAAGTCTCGACCCCTGCAACCACAATTGCGTGAGTACAATTAGGTGAGTATACTAACACAGTCACACACTAACAGTAATACACTAACACAGTAATATACTAACAGTCATACACTAACACAACAAGACTAGTCCCTAAGCTAATGGGTATGTCTTACTAGGAGAGGTTAAGGAAAATCAACCTGATGACACTGAAGAACAGGAGAGGGGGGGGGGGGAAGACATGATTACGACATATAAAATACTGAGAGGAACTGACAAGGTGGATAGGGACAGAATGTTCCAGAGATGGGACACAGAAACAAGGGGTCACAACTGGAAGCTGAAAACTCATATGAGTCACAGGGATGTTAGGAAGTATTTCTTCAGTCATAGAGTTGTCGGGAAGTGGAACAATGTGGAGAGTGATATTGTGGAGGCAGGATCCATACATAGCTTTAAGAAGAGATACGATAAAGCTCATGGAGTAGGTAGAGAGTGAACCTAGTAAGAGCCAAAAGCTATGAATCGACCCTTGTAACCACAAATAGGTAAGTACAGTAATACACTAACACAGTAATATGTTAACACAGTCATACACTAACACAGTCATACATAACACAGCCATACACTAATACAATAATACACTAAGACAGTTATGAACTAACACATCAATATACTAACAAAGGCATAAACTATCATAGTAATAACAGTCATACACTACACCAGTCATACACTACACCAGTCATACACTACACCAGTCATACACTACACCAGTCATACACTACACCAGTCATACACTACACCAGTCATACACTACACCAGTCATACACTACACCAGTCATACACTACACCAGTCATACACTACACCAGTCATACACTAACACAGCCATACACTAACACAGCTATACACTAACAATCATTCACTAACACACACACTAACATTCATATACGGACACAATCACACAGTAACAGTCATATACAAAGTCACTGTCTTACTCCAGTTTAAAATCATTTCTATTTATAAGGTATCTCTCGGTTAATATCACCGAGTTGAATATAAGATAAGCCTAGATATAGGAGAACTTTCTAGAATTTCTTAATCTTCAACATCAATGGAAAAATATTTAGGTGCTGGGCCATCCTGTTTTGAACATCAATGCTCTATATCCTAAAATGTATATCTCTCAGAACTATTGTACAGATATGTAATAATGTAATATAGCGAAGGCTATTTACCCAGTAGCCTGGCAGGCAAGGGTCTCGCTTCACACACGGAGGGCCCGGGGTCGATTCCCGGTGGGGTTTACCTGGAGTTTACCTGGAGAGAGTTTCGGGGGTCAACGCCCCCGCGGCCCGGTCTGTGACCAGGCCTCCTGGTGGATCAGCGCCTGATCAACCAGGCTGTTGCTGCTGGCTGCACGCAAACCAACGTACGAGCCACAGCCCGGCTGATCAGGAACTGCCTTTAGGTGCTTGTCCAGTGCCAGCTTGAAGACTGCCAGGGGTCTGTTGGTAATCCCCCTTATGTGTGCTGGGAGGCAGTTGAACAGTCTCGGTCCCCTGACACTTATTGTATGGTCTCTTAACGTGCTAGTGACACCCCTGCTTTTCATTGGGGGGATGGTGCATCGTCTGCCAAGTCTTTTGCTTTCGTAGTGAGTGATTTTCGTGTGCAAGTTCGGTACTAGTCCCTCTAGGATTTTCCAGGTGTATATAAATCATGTATCTCTCCCTCCTGCGTTCCAGGGAATACAGGTTTAGAAACCTCAAGCGCTCCCAGTAATTGAGGTGTTTTATCTCCGTTATGCGCGCCGTGAAAGTTCTCTGTACATTTTCTAGGTCGGCAATTTCACCTGCCTTGAAAGGTGCTGTTAGAGTGCAGCAATATTCCAGCCTAGATAGAACAAGTGACCTGAAGAGTGTCATCATGGGCTTGGCCTCCCTAGTTTTGAAGGTTCTCATTATCCATCCTGTCATTTTTCTAGCAGATGCGATTGATACAATGTTATGGTCCTTGAAGGTGAGATCCTCCGACATAATCACTCCCAGGTCTTTGACGTTGGTGTTTCGCTCTATTTTGTGGCCAGAATTTGTTTTGTACTCTGATGAAGATTTAATTTCCTCATGTTTACCATATCTGAGTAATTGAAATTTCTCATCGTTGAACTTCATATTGTTTTCTGCAGCCCACTGAAAGATTTGGTTGATGTCCGCCTGGAGCCTTGCAGTGTCTGCAATGGAAGACACTGTCATGCAGATTCGGGTGTCATCTGCAAAGGAAGACACGGTGCTGTGGCTGACATCCTTGTCTATGTCGGATATGAGGATGAGGAACAAGATGGGAGCTAGTACTGTGCCTTGTGGAACAGAGCTTTTCACCGTAGCTGCCTCGGACTTTACTCTGTTGACGACTACTCTCTGTGTTCTGTTAGTGAGGAAATTATAGATCCATCGACCAACTTTTCCTGTTATTCCTTTAGCGCGCATTTTGTGCGCTATTACGCCATGGTCACACTTGTCGAAGGCTTTTGCAAAGTCTGTAGAAACATTTCGACGCGTTTCCTTACACCTGTTGTCCTGTTCACCTAGCAGCATATAGGTACCTGGGTGCTAGTCGACTGGTGTGGGTCGCATCCTGGGGGACAAGATTGAGTACCTCAATGGAAATAAGACAGACAGTCCTCGATGACGCACTGCCTTTCTTGGGTTACCCTGAGTTGCTGACCCTCCGGGGTTAAAAATCCGAACGAAATCTTATCTTAAGCACTGACAAAAATCACACCAGGCCCAACGTAAGTTTATTTTAGTACAGGAACACATAAATACAGTTACACAAATTATCATACATAGTTACGTATGTGTAAAGTAACTAAGATAACCCAATAAAGTCAAACAAAGTAACTTATTTCCATTGCTAAAAGATACAACCTGAAAACACTCAAAATTTGCGATCATAAATTGTTTTATGAAAATATTGTTGGATAACGACAACGTCATGAAAACATAGTCAAACAATTTAAAGATAAGGATAATTATTATTAAACTCAAGGGATAGTAATCAGGTGTGATTCTTGCATTGGTAAGGTAACTCCAATTCCTTGAATCATGAACCCTTCTCCAGCATAAAGTCACCACTTTGAAGTCCTTGAAGATGAAAGAAAAATTGACACGTACCTTAAAAAAAAGTTAGACTCTCTGCAAGTCAAGAAATTTGAGGAGGATTATCTTCGAGCTGTAGAGATAATGGAGGTTCCTTGAAGGAGTTTGTAGGTTCTGGATCACTCCTTCAAGCACCACGGAAGAGCCTGCCTGAAAACAGCTGCAAAGAAGCAATACTTTCAAGCAACGGGACTTCCTTGAAAGTATTTTCCTGTGAGTTCGGAGATGGACAGGCAACACCAGAATTCTTATGGCTTGGACGTGTTTCCCCTCACGAGGGTGAGGACTGAAGGATGAACCGCCACACTGAGCGCCCAGCCTTGCCGTGGGCGGTGCGTTGGGCACCACTCGTCTCTCATGCCACTTGTGGCAAACATTCCCGTTATTGTTTTCATTCATCCGATTGTTCGTGCGTACTATCTGTAAATATTTATGCATTTGACGTGCCTATTATTTGCTCTGCTAATGGGAGCTTTAAGGATATATAATTATTTGTTTTCTTTCACTAGATAACGGAAGAAAACAACATCAACTCTGGCCACTAAAGATAGGAATTTCTGTGCATGTAAACAAACAGAGATGTGGGCTAAACAGAGGGGTTGTCTGGTTCTCAAGCCTCCGCCCCGCGCTCCTCCTGCCTTCACCCACATCCTGGTCGTGTGCAGGAATTGCGCTGCGACAGAGAAGCAAAGAGTTGTTTTCTATAACAATAGATAGATGGCAGGTTAAGAAAAAAACATAGTGAAGATTTTTTTACAAAGTCGGTATTAAACATACAGACAGTTTTGTCATGTGTTAGTCTAAGAAATAAAACACCAACGTAGAAGATATTAATTTATTCCGTAGTAGGAAAAATATAGAAAAACAAAATCGTAGAGGAATATTCGCCCATGTTAGGCCTCACCCAAGTAAACAGAGAGATTAGCGGCTCTGTGTATACAGTATTCTATTCTGGGTAAGGCAAGTTAAATAATTATTACCCACGAGATAATACAAAGTTATTATCACCTGGGTAATAACAGAGAAGTGAAGGTTGGCATGAAGATAGCATAGTAGGTGTGTACTCATCAATTTGAACTCACCTATTTGTGATTGCAGGGGTCGTATCATAGCTCTGGCCCCGCCTCTTTGCTGGTCGTTACTAGATCCACTCCATTACCTCACTCTCCAGATTGTTCCACTTCCTGACAACTCTATGGCCGAACAAATATTCCCAGCATCCCTGTGGCTCATTTGAGTCTTCAACGTCAGACTGTGATCCCTTGTTGCTCTGTCCCCTCTCTGAAACATTTGTCCCTATTTACCTAGTCAATTCCTCTCAGTATTTTATATGTCGCTGTCATGTGACCCCCTAACCCTCCTGTCCTCCAGTGCCGTCAGGTCGATTTCCGTTAACTTCTCGTAGAAAATGCCCCTTAGCTCCGGGACTAGTCTTGTTGCAAATCTTTGCACTTTCTCAAATTTCCTTACGTGCTTGACCAGGTGTGGGTTCTAGACTCGAGCTGCATACTCCAATATAGGCCGGACGTACACAGTGTACAGAGTCCTGAAGGATTCCTTACTGAGATGACGGAACACTATTCTTAGGTTTGCCAGGCGCCCATATGCTGCAGCAGTTATTTGGTTGATGCGTGCCTCAAATGTGTTCGGTATTATACTCACCCCCAAGATCCTTTTCCTTGAGTAAGGTTTGCAGGTTTTAGCGCCTAGACTGTACTCTGTTGGTGGTCTTCTTTGCCCTTCCTCGATCTTCATGACTTTGCACTTGGTGGGGTTGAACTCCAGGAGCCAGTTGCTGGACCAGGCTTGCAGCCTGTCAAGTGTGTGTGTGTGTGTGTGTGTGTGTGTGTGTGTGTGTGTGTGTGTGTGTGTGTGTGTGTGTGTGTGCGTGTGCCTTTAATTAAAGAGGACAGAATGAATTATTACATACACACGTTTTCCTTTTCAGAATAAATCCCATTTCTCGTTAAGGAGAATATTATATGTGATTTCATTATTATGATTCCGGGAGGTCTCAGGACCGACTGTATAAATGTCATCTGGGTAACAACTGGAAAGTAAACAAATCAAGTGAATAAGTACAGCTCTAGGTGGGGAAGATGAGGTGTCACTCCTAGCCTGGTGGTGATGACTGTCTCACCTCAGGGAGGGAGGCTGCCACTGCACAATTCTTGAAAGATATTTTCGTATCCCATAAGCCCATGAGGAAGAAGGCAATATATTCTGAAATTCATTTAGACGTACCCTTCGGGGAATGTCAACTATTTTTAGTAATTCTCAGCAAAATTTAACATTCAGCTATAATTAGCTTCGTTTTACACGGTTAAAAACCTATAATCAATAGCTCTCCCCACATCCGTCAGACTACCAAACGAACACTAGAGGCTGAGTGTACAGTAACCCCGTTTTAGTGAGTATCCCTGACCCATGATAGCGGAGGCTATGTACTTGACATAACAATGCATCCTCTCTGCTTGGGCTAGTCCAGTAACAATGATAGATCATGATAATCACATAACACGAGAGTAGGTGTGAGATATGAAGATTTTTAAATGACTTGAGCCTTGAGTGTCAGTTGCCGCCATTGTTGTGTTAACGACCAGGTCTGTTATTTCTCAGTGATGCTGATCCACTAGTATGGTCTTGACCAGGTCTGTGTTATTTCTCAGTGATGCGGGTTCACCAGTGTGGTCTTGACGACCAGATCTGTGTTATATCTCAGTGATGTTGATCCTTCAGTGTGACTGACGACACTTCTGTTGTATGTGATGCTAGAACGCCAGTTCTAGCATCATATATCATATACTCTGGTAGTGAGACACTTCACGCGAGTCTCCACTTGACCTGTTCATCATCATTCAAAAATACTTGAATCTTTTTGAGAGTGATTAAAGTAACTTCTCAGCGCATATACACCAAGATGCGTACACCTCAGGATGTATAAAGAAGTATACACCTCACGGTGTATATACACTGTTGCCTTCTACGGTTATTACTTTTAGTTAACAGATGACCCGCTGATATTTACTCTCGTATTTAAGGCACCGATGGGAATTTCGTCGTAAATATGTTCTCCAGTAAATTGTTCAGTATGTTCTTCTGTTCTGCAACATCTGAAGAACAGAAATGTATTAATATAATTTAATAACTAATTACTGTAATATTTTTATTGGCTTTATTGATATTATTATTATTATCAGTATTATTTCTTTTCTTTCAACACACCGGCCGCATCCCACCGAGGCAGGGCGGCCCAAAAAGAAAAACGAAAGTTTCTCCTTTTACATTTAGTAATATATACAGGAGAAGGGGTTACTAGCCCCTTGCTCCTGGCATTTTAGTCGCCTCTTACATCACGCATGGCTTACGGAGGAAGAATTCTGTTCCACTTCCCCATGGAGATAAGAGGAAATAAACAAGAACAAGAACTAGAAAGAAAATAGAAGAAAACCCAGAGGGGTGTGTATATACATGCTTGTACATGTATGTGTAGTGTGACCTAAGTGTAAGTAGAAGTAGCGAGACGTACCTGAAATCTTGCATGTTTATGAGACAGAAAAAAAGACACCAGCAATCCTACCATCATGTAAAACAATTACAGACTTTCGTTCTACACTCACTTGGAAGGACGGTAGTACCTCCCAGGGCGGTTGCTGTCTACCAACCTACTACCTAGAATCATTATTATTATTATTATTATTATTATTATTATTATTATTATTATTATTATTATTATTACTGTTATTATTATTAGTAGTAGTAATAGTAACAGTTGTTGTAGTAATAATAGTAGTAGTAATAGTAGCTACATTAGTAATAATAGTAATAGTAGTAGTATTTGTAGTAATAGCAGTAGCAGGAGTAACCTCAGTAGTTATTAAACACATTGGAAATATGACTAGATTTGTCTCTAGAGCTGGCTTAGTTACAAGTACTTCTGGCAGTTTGGGAGAGACTCGGATGATGATCAAACCCAATGTGACCAACCCTACTGTCATTATCTTGAACACTATGTGCTCAGTTGCCCACTTACTGAAGAAAATAGTGATAGGCCTATGTGATGTGTTAAGATATCTTATTAATGAAAATAAGATACCCGATACATTAAGCAATTTCCTAAATTTGCTTGAAACAGATAAGTGAACTGCAGATACAAATCCAGATGTACTCCTGTACACCCTTTTGGGGCCAAGTTCCAAGGCATTTTGGGCAGCCATGTGCTCTTGCGCTACCGTCCTCAGGATAGATATCGGGTGCAAAATATACTAGTCGCTTCAGGGGCAAAATCTAATCTGTCGCTGAGTGATCCGAGGACGGTATTCCCGTAGTGCATAACCATAGCCCCTGTACTTCAGTGTACGCAATAGGAAGAGAGGAGAGTGAGGCATATGATATAAAGTGTACTGAAAATTTTAAGTTTAAATCTTTTCTATGATATTGGTATCAGAAATACCAATATCATACACAGGCACATCAGAATTTGCATTATTAAATTATCAGCATTGAAAGCTTGAAGCTAATTGCATGCAACGCTCAGAAAATGTCACACGAACAACAGCATTTCAGTTTTCCCAATTTCTTAAAAAAAACATTGGAACGTACTCAGGTTGTATTCATCTAAATTTTTCTCAGAGTACGACTGACCAGTTTTTAGGCACGTTAGTTATATTTAAGTTTTGGGTACATAACACAATGTTTTAAGAATGGTCTTGAGGTCACATAGATTTTACAGGCGTCTACCTACCTGCCTGGAATCTACCTGGAGGGCATTCTGGGGGCCAACGCCCCCGAGGCCCGGTCCATGGCCAGGCCACCTGGTGGATCAGACTACGTGCTGGCCGCACGTAGTCCAACGTACGAACCACAACCCGGCTGACCTGGCACTGACTTTAGGTATCTGTCCAGCTCCCTCCTGACGACAACCAGGGGTCTATTGGTAATTTCCATTATGGCTGGTGGGAGGCTGTTGAACAGTCCTGGGCCCCGGACACTTATTATGTTTTCTCTTATTGTACCAATGGCGCCTCAACGTTTCACTAGGGGTATGTTGCATCGCCTGCCAAGTCTTTTGCTTTCGAAGGGAGTGATTTCTGTGTACAAATTAAGGACCAGTCCCTCCAGGGCTGGTCCTTAATCTGTGTATCTCTCGCCTGCGCTCCATTGAATACAAGTCAAGTGCTTCTAGGCGTTCCCGGTAGTTAAGGTGTTTGATGGAACTTGTATGTGCAGATAAGGTTCTCTGTACATTTTGTAAATCTGCAATTTCATCTGCCTAGAATGGGGAGGTTAATGAACAGCAGTATTCCAGCTTAGAGAGAACAAGTGA